AGAAGGAGGAGAAGAAGAAGTAAATATAGAAAAATGTTAATCATTCAGTCTTGCCAATAGAAATATGAGAGTCCTTTGTACCATTCTTTCTTCTGTATTGTTTGAAATGTTAACAGAGTCAAAATTCCTCTGATCCTGTAGGGACTGAAGCAGAATCTTCTCATGGCCCTGGCCCTGCAGGCTTGGAATCCCTAGAGCCTTGTGGGAGCTCCTGGGGGCAAGGACTTTTCAGCTCATTTGCTTCTGGATCACCCTGTGCCCAGTACCAGGCACACACTGAGGTTGATAACAAGCACCAGTGGCACCCACATGCCAGCACTGTGAATGTTCTTACTTTTACTCAATCCCTTAGCAGTTTGGTGTGGTGTCCATTAGCATCCCAGTTACAGGAGGGGAAACTGAGGCATCCATGGAAAGGCTGAGTAACTCTACCAAGGTTATGCCCTTTACGAGTGGTGGAGTTATGTTTGCTACAAGGTCTGGTTACTGTGTGCAAGTTTAATCTCTATTTAGGTAGTCCTGATGAGATAGGTGGACCTGGTCATTCTGATTTTCAGCAGGGGGAGAAGTTGGACCTCAGGGTGTAAGGAGGACAAGCAGAGGGCTTGGTGTCAGGCACTATCTGGGCCCAAACGTACTCTTCACGTCAGTCTCATAGTGGGGCGGAGGTGGATGGTGTAGCCTGGGGATCTTGAGCTCAGGCTTTTCACTCCCTGATGATCTTCAGGAAGTTCTTAGCTTCCACATGCCTCAGTTTCCCCATCTACACAATAGTCTATAAGAATAGTATTTTGTACCCCAGTTTTGTTGTGGTGATTTATGTGTGTTACCCGTGGAAAACACATAAGAAGTTCTCAGGTTATTTTGCATGGTGCTGAGGGTAGAATCCAGGGCCTCTCCTGGTACTGGAAAAAAAAAACAAAAACAAACAAACAAACAAACAAAAGAATCCAGGGCCTCATACCCACTAGGCACAAGCTCTGTGGTGCCAGCCCTAAAAAAGCACTTACAATGCCGAGCCAGAGTAGGTGAGGGTGACTCTGGCCCTCCCCACTTTCCTGAGAGGAAATACAGTCTCAGGGAGCACAGAAGCTGCCTAGCACCGCTTGGCTGATGGAAGTACCAAAGCCAGGTGTCTGATTCCAAACTCTATGCTCTTAATGTTTTCACAAGCACAGTCTGGGGCCAGGGCCAGGAGGGTCTCTACTCCCAAATCCTGTCCTTCAAGATGCTCCCCATGTCCCTCTGTCCTAATCCTCCTGCCTCCTGTCCTCCCCCTTCCTCACTCTCCCTTTTCCTTCTTTCCCCTCCCCTCTCTCTGCTCTCTCCCGCTCCTCCTGCCCTCTCTTCCTGCTGTTCTTACACAGCAGAGCACAGAGCATCTACACCTCCATCTCTGTCCCTCCTAGCCCCTACTTTGGGTCCATTTCCCCAGCCTCAAAGGGAGCCATTCTTTGGGTAGTGGAACTGGACACTTCCCGGTTTCTTATCTGTGCTGGCTGGGGCAGGTCTGAGTGTTGTCAGTGGACGTTGACCCGTGGCAGGGCAAGTCCCCCTTTCAAGGAATGCCAAGCCACTTCCCAGGTCACAGCCATGGTGAACAGCTGCGCTTGGGTGTGGTGGCTGGGGAGAGGAGTGGCACCCAGGCTGTGGTCACTGCCCACCCATCATGGACTGGCTAGCTCCATAGTCTGGGCCACTGGCCCCTGGACAAACTGGTTGTTCCTCTGACTGGCAGCCCAGAGAGACCTTGTCCAGCACTTCTCACTCCTGCTGAGGATACTGCTCACCAGTTCCAGATTCCCAAGAGTGGTGATCCTTCCTGGTAGATTAGCAGGACTCCCTTTGAGAGCTGGCAGGGGCCAGAGCTGGAGATGGGAGAAGGTGCAAGGCAGGAAAGGAGGCTTGGAGCTGGATGGGAGACGGGGCTCTCTGTTCTGTCCTAAGCTGTCCTTGACCCTGCTCACCCCTCCTCCTCTGCTCTGTAGCCATGGGAGGTGGGTCCTCCATCCCAAGGCTCTGTACAACCTAAAGCGGTCCCCAGCACACACTCTGGGCCTCAGTTTCCCCATCTAGTCATACAAAGTGGGACTGGACCACTCAGTAAACCCTGCAGTGAGCCCCCTCTCAATGAGCCCCCTCTCAATTTTGGCCAGGTTTTGCCCTGGGCTCAGGGGATGTGTGCATGGAGTCCCTGGAGCTCACAGGGCAGCGCTTAGGATCTTAAGGGATGAAAGTTAGGGTCCATCACCATGAGAGAGATGCCTTTCACAGTCATGAAGAGCTTGCCAGACCCAGACTGGGGACACAACACTCTGTCCCCTCAGCCTTCTGGGCTTTTCCTTATTGTCCACTTAGAAGACAGGTCCCCAGGGGAGGCGGCCTGTGTGCAGGGGAGGAGGCTTGGTCCTTTGAACCCTGGCAGGCCCAGGTCCAGCGTCTCTGGCTGGCAGGAGAAAGGACGGTAAGCAGCCGGCCGTGTAAGCTGCCAGCCCGCTCGGACCCCTGCAGCGGCCCCTCCCTGCTGGAGCGGTAGAGCGGCTGTTCCTTGGCAACATCTCCAGGAATCCAGCGCCAAGCTCAGGCTCGCTTCCTCTCCCCTCCCACCGCCTGCCTGCAGGGCTGGGGGCGGAGGCAGCGAGCCCATTATAAGAAACTGGAGCCCGTTCTAAGAAGCAGCGGTAGAACCAGGCGGCCGAAGGACAGCGCCGAGCTCCAGCCAAGGCCCCAGCCTCCTGCCTCGGCCCCTTGTGCAGGCCCTCGCCCACCCCCAGCCATGGCTCCCACACCTCTGTCGTGGCTGCTGCGCCTGGCCGTGCTCTGCCATCTGACCGTCCTGCTGGCTGGTGAGTGGGGCATGGCCTGGGTGCGAGCTGGCAGGGAATCCACTCCACCTCTGTCCCTCAGGCCTGACAGCAGGGCCCCCAGACCCACCTGGGGGACGCGGAAAGGGATGTGTGGGAGGGGGCTGGGGACTGCCCCTGCCCGGCTAGTAAGCAAGGTAGCCGCTCACAGCAGCGTGGAGGGGGTGTGGGTAGCACAGGGTCCCAGGTGTGGTACCAGGCAGGTGGGGGTTCAGGGAGCCTGAGGGAGCTTCCGAGGGGAGCAGGGTAGGAGGCTGAGTCTTCCCACCCTGGGTTAATGTGTAACCTTCAGCCCTGGTCAGGGGCCAGGGATAGTTAGGACTTTCTGTATCCCGGACATCAAGGCCCCCAAGAGCAGGGGACCCAAGACTAGTGAAGGTCAAGGTCACCTCAGCTCAAGGATGGGGCCTGTTGCTGTGGGGCTTCTCTGCCGCTCCAGGCCCCCTGCCCGTGCCTCCCCCATCACACTGTCTTCCTCCTCCATGCACAGCTTCCCAAATGCCTTCCACCTCCAGCCCTTGCTTTCGAGTGTCAGGACCTCGTAGGACAAGGAGTAGCCCTCCCACCGACATGGGTAAGATGGAGGCCTAGAGGGGGTTAGAAACTGTCCTGAGGATGCACAGCCAGCAGGTAGGGCTGGAGGGTGAGACCTGGTGGACTCAGTGTAGGAGAGAAAGCAAAGATTTGCACCGACCAGCTCTGCGGGCACCCTATATCCACACACCCCTGGAATCAGCCCCGTCCTCAGGGAGGGTCCTGTTGCCTGGCAAGGTAACTCTCAGAGAAGATGACACTTTACCTTAGGGCACACAGCAAGTCTAGGAGAATGAGAACCATCCCCAGTTTGCAGCGTATCTCCATAGAGCAGCCTCCACAGCGGGTGGGCAGGTAGGGTTGCGGGAAGCAATTTTCGCTGACTTCCTACTTTCTGACCTGTGTCCAGAGGCCTGAGGTGTTTGGGACCAGTGAGCGCTGGGAGATGGGGAGTCAGATGGAGTTTGCTTTGCTACACTTTACTGTGTGTCCCTGAGCAGGGTCTTGCCTTTTCTGGTTTCCGTTTCTGCACCTTTAAATATAGCTATTGTCTCCTTGGTGATGGGCTCCACATGTATGAGGGCATTTTGGGAGAGGGAGGAGGAAGAGGAGGAGGAGGGCTCCTTTTACCAAGTCGGTGGGGGGAGCTCTGTGCAGGATGGAGAGGGTGCCCTGAGTGCTTTGATTAGCAGCTTGAGCCTGACTGCCCTAGTGGTGGCCCCTGACTTTGCTGGGAGATACTGGGCACTATTTCAGCCTTTCTGAGCCTCAATTTATCCTCCTATAAAGCTGGGCATTCAACCAGGCCCGCCCGGGAGGGCTCCGCAGCAGGGGGCTGGTGCAGCCTGGCTGCGTCGGCTCCCAAATGTGGGTCTATGAGGCTGTTAGGAGGTGGGTGGCTCCCGTGTTTTATGTAACAAACCTGCAGATGCAAGTCAGAGCGCAAGATTCTTCTCCCTGAGCACTGACGCATTCACTCCCACTCAAGTCCCAGTGAGAAAGAGAAAGAGAGAAAAAGACAGAGAGAGAGAGAGAGATGTTTTAAGCTGCGCTAGCCTCCCTACCCACAGATCCAGGCCCTGCCAAATTTAAATGGAAACCCCCTTCTCTGTTGGTGAGGCTGCTCGTGTCACCAAGCACCTGCCTGTGCATCTTGTCCGTTTGTGTAACACAGCACAGGCTAGGGACGGCTGCTCTGTGACAAGCCCATGCCCCCATCAGTGGATAAAAGGGCCAAAGATCCCAGTCCTTGAGCTGTGAAATTCCACTGCAGACGGCAGACAGTACACAGCACAAATCAGTAAAGGATCTGGTCTGCTAGAAGGGAAGAGGAACTGTGGTGAAAAATAACAATAGTAAAGTAGAGGGGAGGGGAGCTGTGCATGTTTAAAATGGGGATCAGGGAGGCCTCGCTGAGCAGACGGCACCTGCAGTTTGAGGGAGCCAGGGAGAGGGCCTTGAAGGACGCTGGTGTCTCAGGGCGCTGGTCCTCGGGGGACATCTGGCAACTTCTGGAGACATTTTTGGTTGTTCCAGTATTTCTTGTTGGGTGTTGCTACTGACATCTGTCTAGGTAGAGAACCATGGTGCACAGGATGGTCCTCCATGACAAAGAACTGTCTGGCTCAGAGTGTCAGTAGGGTCACTGCTGAGGGATTCTGCTTAAGGAAAAATGCTGTGGACGTTAAACAAAAACAAAATCAACAACGACAAGACAAAGGAAGTTCATTCTTTTTTTGGTTTGTTTTTTTTTTTTGGTTTTCTTCCAGTACCAGGTATCGAACTCACAACCTTGAGCTTGCCAGGCAGGCGCTGTGCTGCTGAGCTAAATCCCCAGCCCCAGGAAGTTCATTCTTTTTTTTCGGTACCAGGGATCAAACTCAGGACCTCATGTTTGCCACACATGCACTTATACTGCTGAGCAATATTCCTGGTCGAACAAAGGAAGTTTATTCTTCCCAGGCTTGGTGACACATACCTATAAGCCCAGCATTCAGAAGGCAGAGGCAAGAGTGCTGTCCATCAGTTTGAGGTTGACCTGGGCTATATAGTGAGTTCAGGGCCAGCCTGTACCATCTGGCTAGACCTTATCTCAAAAGACAAATAAATTGAAAAATTTTGTGCATGATGGTACACACCTGTGATCCCAGCTGAAGCAGGAAGATTCTCAAATTTGACCCCAGACTGGGAAACTTAGCAACTGAGGGAGGCCTTGTCTCAAAATAAAAAATAAAAAGGGCTGGGGGTGTAGCTCACTGTGAAAGCCCTGGTTCAATCCCCAGTACCAGAAAAAAGAAAAGTTTTTTTCTTGTGATTACTCTGTGAAACAGATATTATAGCCATTTTACAGGTAAGGAAACTGAGGCCTGAGAGGCTTACTCAGGACATGCAGCTGAGTAAAGGCACAAGCCCTCTCTGTCACCTCACCCACAGACTCAGGATATTGCTGCCTGTAAACTTCTTACCAGTCCTTGAGGGCCAGCCTAAGGGTTACCTCCTCCTAGAAGCCTCCCTTGATCTCACCCCATTGCAAGCAGTCTCTTCTTCATGTAAAACCCCAGTATGTTTGCAAAATATTCTGGAACACAGTTCCTACCAGGTTCTGTGCCAATCTAGAACACTGGGATGTCTAGGAGCTGGGTGGAAAACAGCTCTGTCAGTAGCAGCTTGGGAAATGGGCTTATCTCTTTGATCCTCAGCTTCCGCATCTGTAAAGTGGGGATAATAATACTTCCTTTGCAGGGACCTTAATGAGGGCAGTGTGCATGTACTGAACATAGGGTCCTATCCCCAGTAGCTGCTCAAGAGAACAGCTCCAATCCCTAGATGAGTGTTTTCCTGCCCATCAGGCCACGAAGCTTCCAAGGGCAGAGACATGCCTTGTACCTCACCCCACATCTAGCAAGACCCACACAAGGTCTGCCTGCCAAGAGGGAGGAACCAGCAGGTTTTGGTTGGCTGAACAAACATGGTGACTTCTGGCATTTGTTGGGACTGAGATGCTCTTGATGAATGGTTGTGGGAGCTACGGGAGAGCAGTGGGCTTAAGAAGTGAGTGTTGGCTGAGTCAGGAGAGAGAGATGGTTGGATGAGTGGGCTGGTGATGTGAAATGGATGGATGGATGAGGTGAAAGGAGAACAGAGGGTAGACAGGTGGTGGGTAGGCTAGAGGTGGGCAGACGGGTGGCTGGGAGAATAGGGAATGAGTAGCAAATAAATGGGTGTGGAATGAGTAGGAGACGACAGGAGGGAATGGATGGATGATGGATGGATGGATGATGGACAAATGGTGGATAGATGGATAATGGGTGGATGG